CGAGTAGCTGGGATTACAGGCATGTGCCACCAGGCCTGGCTAATTTTGCATCTTTAGTAGAGAGGGGGTTTCAATATGTTGGCCAGGCTGGTCTTGAACTCCCGACTTCAGGCAATCTGCCCACCCTGGCCTCCCAAAGTGCTGGGATTATAGGCGTGAGCCACTGCAGGGATTTAAAAATAAAAACAAACCTTGCTGAGCAAGTTTCTCTTCTCTGTCTTGAAATCTAGGACTAATAAATGGATTTGTCTCTGGTCATGCCACCTCTCCCCAGAAGTGCTGCTTTGGGGGCTCTGGCCAACCCGGATGACCACCCGTGGGGAACGTGACCACCTGTGGGGAATGTGACCACCTATGGGGAACGTGACAAGTGGGTTGTTTTCTAGGATAGAGTTGAGGGAGCTCTATTTTACATTTTCTCTACTGTTAGGGGCTTCATTTCACTCTTAATGATCTTTGTTCCACCTTTTTTTTTCCTCCCAGTGTGAGGACTATTCTCAAGGGAGGTACAGTTAGAAACAAAATGGGAACTGGGTACTTTATTGTTCTCTCTACTCTGCGTCTTCCCCTAGCCGAGGGGAGTCGCTGCCTTGTCCATCCTCTTGCTCCAAACAGACCAATAAGGAAGCAAACAAACAACTTTGGTGCTGACCAGGATTCCTTTAAAATCGCTGCTAATTCTAGACTTTGGTCCTTCTGGACATTCTAACACACCCGGGGTATATCACAGCCAAGGCATCAAGCAGTGTGAAACCCCAGCAGGTTCACTGAAAACCTACACTCATCTGTCCTCCTTGGCTGCTGCCTGCCCCCTTCTTCCCCATTAAAATCATTTGCAATTTCATCATCAGAATCTAATTTCCACTCGGTAGAATGCTTACGCCTGGCAGGTTTTCCTCTACTCCTCACATTATTCTAATCCCACTGAAAAAAGAATTCCTTTAGGGAGCTTGTTGAGACCACCACTTTGATCAAGCCCTACTTCATTCTGGCCTTGGGGACATGTCACAGAGTGGCTTGTCTAAAATCTTTTCCTAGAACTTTGATATTGTTATTTTAGGTTATTATTGTGATTTCATGTTATTCTCCCCGCTTTGGGAGAAATGGTTTCATCATTTTGTAATTAAATTAGATTTGCAAAATGTCAACAATAGGATGTGCAATCCATTACACGTGCATAATGTAGTAATCTATTGTCAAGACAGAGACCTCCTGGTGAGGTGACAGAGTCCCGGGCCCCCCTGCCTTCTACTAGACCGTTACTTTCCAGATGTTGAGGAATAAGTCATCCTTATCTAAGAATCCTTATCTAAGATACCTGGCTTTTCTTTGAGATCCCCTCACTGATTGAAGCACCCCTGCAATCACCCAGGGTGATTCACAGAAGCAGATCTGGGGACCACATGGCCAGGGAGCAGGGAAGAATCAGGCTACCAAAGACACAGAGACTGGGCGCAGCCTGCCTCAGCGAGTGGGCTGCCCTGGCTCGGGCCATGTAGTGAAGAGGGCAGAATTTGTCCTCAAGCCCATGCCAGCCTACGCCTCCACCACTGCTCCCCAAACTGTACCCCTAGCCCAAATCTGAGTTGCTGTGTCCTGTCCTATGGCTATTTAGGCCATCCCACCAGGCCTGCCATCCCCAGGGAGTGTCCAGCTCAGAGTCCTCTCTCCACACCTGTCTCCAAGTATCAGCAAGCTTTCAGACTGGAAAGGATTTATTCACAAACTCATGCGGGTGAACAAAGGGGTCCAACAGTAAGGGAGACATTTTCAGCTGTGAAGCCAACTAGGGCTGTGTGGAGAGGACTTGCACCCTGAACCTGAAATCACAGTGGCCTCAGTCTCCAAGGTCCTGTGAGAAGCACGGCCGGCCCGAGTCAGAGCCACTCAACAGCATCTTATTCATCCAGAGTCACTGAGGTTCCCATCAATTACATTTTCTGAAAATGAAACTTGAATTGCCAAAACACTATTTTAACCACTATGAAAAGAAAAATCTTCCTAAAAGGGGGCCCATAGTCCCTAAACCTTAAACCTTAAACCTCTCCTTTTCCCACTGAAGTGGTCATCATTATCCCTATGGAATGGGACAATAATGTGATTGTGTTTCTATGTGCTGTTTAATTACAGCCTTCCTCACAGCCTTCACTTTCCTGTTTTCTACAAGTCTCTCTCTAAAAACCACTTTCCACCAGCCACCCTTCCAGGCTATTTCTTTTGCAGAGAGCTGGAAAATCAGACAGCACTCCTGTTAGGACAGTGTGCTCCACAGATGTCAGCGAAGCTTGAGGCCCACAGAGAAATAAGGCACTTGGTTCAAACGCAGGGATTTTGATTTAGCTATTTCTTAGGGTCTTATTTCCAATACCTTCCAGTTCATGGCTAAAATCCAAAGGCAGATGGGGCCAAGACTCACTTGCACATGGAATGCTCCTTGAATCTATTTCTCATGGTCCTCTGATTGGTAAGATGTTTCTGTCGTCGTGACACTATCAGGCAGGAGCTCCAGGGCTTGCTCTGCTTCTATTTGTTATGTGTGGCCCTGCTAGATGAGCAGCGTTGTGAGACCCCTAGACCTGAGAGGTCCCATTAAGAGGAATGAGATCAAGAGAGATGAGATGTGCAGCCTGTGTCCCTGACTCTGACCTGGCATCCTTCTTTTTGGTGTCTTGTGTGTTCTATAGATTTCAATCTCCTGACGCAGGTTCCGTGGCCATGGCCATTTTACAGCACGACCAATGGAGCAGTGAGAGTCTGTGAAAAGAGCAGGCCCCTCAGGGAGACCACCTGGATGAGCTAGCTCATGTGCTAGCTCCTCAAGGAACCCAGGGTGCAGCGTATGGGCAGTACAGTAACGGGCAGCCTGGGCTGTGTTTGGAGCTGCTCTGAGTCAGGCAGGGCTGGCTGTCACAGCTGGGGTGAAGATGCAGCCAGGGTCTCACTCTGTATTGCTCACTCGGTGGGTTGTGACTTGCTACTGGGTCATGAAATCAATTTAGTGGGTCACAACCAGCCTTTCTCTTTAAAAAATAAACAGAATAGGACAGGGGTGGTGGCTCAAGCCTATAATCCCAGCACTTTGGGAGGCGGGCGGACCATGAGGTCAGGAGATCAAGACCATCCTGACTAACATGGTGAAACCCCATCTCTATTAAAGATACAAAAAAAAATTAGCCGGGCATGGTGGCGGGCACCTGTAGTCCCAGCTACTCGGGAGGCTGAGGCAGGAGAATGGTGTGAACCTGGGAGGCGGAGCTTGCTTGAGCCAAGATGGTGCCACTGCACTCCAGCCTGGGCAACAGAGCGAGACTCCGTCTCAAAAAATAAATAAATAAATAAATAAATAAATAAATAAATAAAATAAACAGAATATCCAAGTGCATCACATGTAGTCAGGGTGAATATTATTTTGACAAAACTTTTGCAGCTGGGCACAGTGGCTCACACCTGTAATCCCAGCACTTTTGGAGACCGAGGCGGGCGGATCACGAGGTCAGGAGATCGAGACCATCCTGGCTAACACAATGAAACCCCGTCTCTACTAAAAATACAAAAAAAAAAATTAGCCAGGCATGGTGGCGGGCGCCTGTAGTCCCAGCTGCTCGGGAGACTGAGGCAGGAGAATGGTGTGAACCGGGAGGCAGAGCTTGCAGTGAGCCGAGATTGTGCCACTGCACTCCAGCCTGGGTGACAGAGTGAGACTCCGTCTCAAAAAAAAAAAAAAAACAACTTTTGCTTCAGTGTTATGTATCCATACATCGAGGTGTGTTCTGGTTGGGACAGGAGATATCTTTCTCACCGTGAGCAGTGGTCAAAGAAGTCAGAAACACAGTGGTTACATGCACATCCATCCTGCAGCTGATCTTCCTGAGACCCATCCCTGCCACCTCACCCCCTGCTGGGAAGCCAAATGGAATTTGTTCAGGGCCCTAGAATTAGCCTCACCTGGAAGGGACAGAGGAGTCTGGGAAGCCTTCTTGGAGGAGGTGGGGCTTGCTGTGGTGGGAGCAGGGAGAGGGACGCAGGGCAGAAGGGAGGACAAGAACAATGGTCCCAAGGTGGGAAGAGCTGGAAGAAGGAAGCCTGGAGAGGCCTGGGAGGAGCAGTACTGGACACCGCCTTCTCATGCAGGCAGAATGAGGGCTGAGGCCAGGGTTGGAAGGGAGAAAGAAAGCTCACTTGGTTTCAATGTGGAAACAGCCAAGTAATCTTCTACTTGATGCCTGCTTTTGTAGATGGTTAGAATCATCCTTAGTTAAGAACCAAGGCCGCCTCCTCCTTTATTCCAAATCCCTTTGGGGAGCACTTGGTAGTGCAGCAGTCAGGTGGGGTATCAGGCCTAACATCCCTAGCTCTCACCGACCCAGAGAATACAACTTCATAGTGCCTGCTTTCCATTTTTCAGTTTAAATTACAATTTTAAGGTGGGATGTGGAGGTTCACCCCTGTAATCCCAGCACTTTGGGATACCAAGGAAGGATCACTTGAGCCCAGGAGTTTGAGATCAGCCTGGGCAATATAGGGAGAACCCCGTCTCTCAAAAAAAAAAAAAAAAAAATTAGCTAGGTGTGGTGGCACACACCTGTGGTCCCAGCTACTTGGGAGACTGAGGTGGGAGAATTACGTGAGCCCAGGAGGTCAAAGCTGCAATGAGCCATGATCACAGCACTGCACTCCAGTGTGGATGACAGAGTAAGACCTTGTCTCAAAAAAAAAATCAATTTTAATTCATTAAAATGAAAAAATCCAGTTCTTCAGTCACACTGGACACATCTCAAATGTTCAATAGCCACACGTGGCCAGCAGTTACTGCATGGAACATCACAGAGAACATTACTATCATCATGGAAAATTCTAGTGGGCAATGATGTTCTAGAACAAGGAAATAAATAATTTATTCATTGCCTCAGGAATGCAACATCTTTCATTATTTCTATGACACCTGAAATTCTAAATGCAAATGCTTCTGAGAGAGGCACTGGAATGACTTAAGTTCTTACCAAATAGTAACTGGTTGATATCAAGGGTCCAAAGAAAGCCACCATCTAAGGAAACCATCCACCTGAGGCTGACAGTATGGGGGGTGCAGGGATGTCAGACAGTCAGATACTGTCCCTAACCAGAGATGCTGTCCAAGAATGCTGATGGATAGGGTTTAAGCACCTCCATCAAGGAGTGTGGAAAACTGTGTGACCTGTGAAGAAAGAAAATGACCCAAAGTTATTATTCATCTTCAGATGAGTGGACAGTTTATTTTCCAACAGTCCTCAGCAGGGGTTATTGCATGAGAAACAAGCTCTTCTCTGTTTCTAGGTAAGGCAGAATAAGAAGTGGATACACAAAGAAGCTGGGTGTGGGGCTCATACCTATAGTTCCAACACTTTGGAAAGTTAAGGCAAAAGGATGGCTTGAGCCCAGAAGTTGAAAGCTACAGTGAGCTATGATCACACCACTGCACTCTAGCCTGGGTGACAGGGCAAGACCCGGTCTATTTAAAAAAAAAAAAAAAAAAAATGGATGCAGGCCTTTGCAGAGGAGGATGCTTGTGAACTTGGCTCTCCTCTGCCCTCCACATTTTACTCAAAGACCAAGCCCATGGCTTTATCCATCTCCTCCACACCAACACCTCCCAGAACCATAGTACTGACCTAGGCCTAGAGATCTAAATACTAACTTATCCTCACCAGGAGCCCAAAAGCAATTGTGACAATCTCTGTGCCCTGCCCCCACCACTTCTCTTCCTGTAGTCCCTACCCTGGCTCATGCTCCACCACCCTCATCCAAGTCAGCACCTGTGAGTCACCCTGGGCTTCTCCTCCTTCCTCCCTCTCCTGTGCAAAGTCACGTCTTGGCCACCTCTCCCATCTGCCTCAAGTCAGCCCTGCTCTCCTTCTCACCAGCCCTGCCCCACCTGCGGCCTCCTCCTGCCACACCTGCTCTCTGGCAGGAGCCGCCTGCTGACTTCCCTGCTTCCAGTCATGGCCACCTCCAGCCCGGTGGCACTGAACCACAGATGAGCAACAGAATGACCTGGGGAGGCGCTTAAAATCTAGATCCTGACTCAGTTATCTGGCCGGGTCAAGCGTGTGTATTTTTGCAAAAGTGCCCCAGGTGATTCTGACACATACTCCTAGTTAAGAACCACGGCTACAGCCGCCTCTTCCTCGTCGTTATTAATAACAAGAGAAACAACAATTCACATTTTTTTGTGCACTTACGTGCACTGCCTCATGTAATCTTTATGACAACCCTATGAGGCAGGAGCTGTCTTCTACTCCCATTTTACAGTTGTTGAAACTGAGGCATAGAAAGTCCCATGGCTAGTGAAGGGCAGGACCAGCTCATGACCAGCCTAACTTCTAACCGCTGTGCTCTCCATACCCCTTTATAAAGCCGAAATTCATACATGGCTCCCCTCCTCACACCATTTCCTGATAGTTCTAGGAAAAAAAAAAAAGCAGTTTGGGGACACATTTATGATTTCCCTCTCCACCCAACCTCCCACCAATAGCTTCTTAACACTAAAAGAAGTCTCTTGATCAGAGTCGTGGGGATATAGTGAATATCTATGTAAAAATTCACTGAGATGTATGCTTAGGATTTGTGACTTCAAGTTTGTTATTCCCCAATGAGAAAAGGCCTTTAAAAAGTCACTTTAAAAAGAACCTAGCAAATCTGAAACAGAGAAAAATATGCATCCGCTAAAGAAACTGGGGAAAGGCCATAAAAATGCCAGCAACTGTGAAGAATTCTTTCTGGCAATAACACAGGTAAGAATAGGCTAGGAAAAGACCCCCAGAGCTAACCCACAGGAAATGCTCGAAAGAAACCAGTCTGGGAGAGGGCACTGACTGGAGGCAGGGCCCCAGGCACAACTGACAGGAAACCCCAACACAGTGGGCTTGACGGCAGTCAGGCACAGGTCAGAAGCCACAGCAGTAACAGCAGCAGCAACACAGGGACTCTGAGGGCCCACAGGACTGTCTTTGGGCCAGGGGCTGGGGGCTGCCCCAGGTGGAGGTCAATGACAGTGAGTTATCTCCTTAACTTTCACAATTCACAAAAATTGTACTACAGATTCCATCTAGATTAATATTTATTTTATTTTTTGGAAACAGGGTTTCACCTAGCCCAGGCTGGAGTGCAGTGGCTAGTCACAGGTGCAATCGCGATGCACTACAGCCTTCAGCTCCTAGGCTCAAGCATTCCTCCTGCCTCAGCCTCCCAGGTAGCTGAGACTCTAGGTGCACACCACTGTGCCTAGCTACATTAAGATTTAAATTTAAAAAAAATAAAAAACTAAAGTATTGAGATAGTTTGTGTGAATATATTAATATAAATTCTGTAGCAGAAGAAGTATCCCTGAAACTGACATAAAGACAGAAACAATGCCTGTAATCCCAGCACTTTGGGAGGCCAAGGAGGGCAGATCACTTGAGCTCAGGAGTTCAACACAAGTCTGGCCAACATGGTGAAACCTCGTCTCTACTACAAAAATACGAAAACTAGCCGGTGTGGTGGAGCATGACTGTAATCCCGGCTACTCAGCAGGCTAAGGCAGGAGAATCGCGTGAACTCAGGAGGCAGAGGTTTCAGTGAGCTGAAATCGTGCCACTGCACTCCAGCCTGGGAGAGAGAGAGAGACTCTGTCTCAAAAAAAAAAAAAAAAAAAAAAGACAGAAACCACCCAGTCCTAGTGATCCAAATACCAGTGACCTATCCAGCCAGGAGCCTCCACGCAACAATGCCAAAGGGAATTGTCACGATTTCTGCACCCCACCCCCACCACTCCCCTTCCTGTAGTCCCAATCCTGGCTCATCCTCCACCTGCTCACACCCTGCCCTCCTCCAGGTCAGCACCTGTGAGTCACTCAAGGCTCCTCCTCTTCCTTCCTCCCTCCCCCACCCAAGGTCACCACATCTTGGTCACCTCTCTCATCTGCCTCCAATTGGCCCTGCTTGCCTCTTCTCTAGCCCTGCCCCACCTTCGGCCTCATCCTGCCACACGTGCACTCTGGCAGGGGCCGCCTCCCTGCTGGCCTCCCTGCTTCCAGTCATGGCCACCTCCAGCCTCAAGGTTTGTAAAGCCTATATAGACTACCTTGATACATGGACATTTTAGATTCATGAATGCTTTAAACATGAGCAAGACTAAATGACAAGTGACAATCTAGGATAAAATATTTGTAATGCATGATAATTGGGCAAGGTGGCTCACACCTGTAATCCCAGCGACTGGGTAGGCTAAGGCAGGAGCATAACATGAGGCCAGATGTTTGAGGCCAGCCTCGGCAACACAGTGAAACTCTCATCTCCAAATAAAAAAAAAAAAAAACCACACATACACATACACACACACACACACACACACACACACAAAATATATGACAAGACAAGGAGTTAATAGCCTGAATACATCTTTGTATAAGAAAAAAATAATATACCACACTAAATACTAACAACAAACTGCACAAATGAAGTGGGAAAAATGGAGAAATATATCAATAGAAAACAGATAACTGACTGGGCTCGGTGGCTCACACCTGTAATCCCAGCACTTTGGGAGGCCGAGGTCAGCGGACTGCTTGGGCTCAGGAACTTGAGACCAGCCTAGCCAATATGGTGAAACCCTGTCTCTACTTAAAATACAAAAACTGTCTGGGTGTGGTGACGGGCACCTGTAGTCCCAGTTACTCGGGAAGCTGAGGTGGGGGATCACCTGAGCCCAGGAGGTTGAGACTGCAGTGAACTGTGATCATGCCACTGCACTCCAGCCTGGGCAACAAAGCAAGAACCTGCCTCAAAAAAAAAGAAAAAAAAAAAAGAAAAGAAAACTAGATAAAGCACATAAGCAGATAATTCATCAGAAAGAATTACCAACGGTTGGCCTGTAAAAGAGTCCAAGTAATAAAAAGAAAAAAGGAAAAGGAAAGCAAACTAAAGCAACAATGATATACTATTTGTTTTTGTTTATCAAATTTGCAAAATTTCCAAAAATGCTAATCCCCAGTGTTGGGAAGGATGTAGTGAGGAAGGCACTCTCATAGGATTGGTGACAACAGCCTAAGTTGATACATCCTTCCTGGAAGGTGATTTGACAATATGTACTAAATCCTTCAAAGTGTGCATACTCCTTGATCTACTCTACTTCACTTTAAAAAAAAAAAAACACTAAAGTATTGAGATAGTTTGTGTGAATATATTAATATAAATTCTGTAGGAGAAAAAAGTTTCTTTCTGAAACTGACATAAAGACAGAAATCATGCCTATAATCCCAGCACTTTGGGAGGCTGAGGAGGATGAATCACTTGAGCTCAGGAGTTTAAGACAAGACTGACCACATGGTGAAACCCCGTCTCTACTAAAAAAATACAAAAGTTAGCCGAAGTGGTGGTGCATGCCTGTAATCCCAGCTACTTGGGAGGCTAAGGCAGTAGATCCCCTTCTACTTAAGTGGATCAAAATAAGGATGTGGCTGGGTTTGGTGGCTCACACCTATAATTCCAGCACTTTGGGAGGCCAAGGCAGGTGGATCACCTGAGGTTAGGAGTTCAAGACCAGCCTGACCAACATGGTGACACCCTGTCTCTACTAAAAATACAAAAACATTAGCCAGGCATGGTGGCACATGCCTGTAACTCTGGCTACTCGGGAGGCTGAGGCAGGAGGATCACTTGAGCCCGGGAGGTGGAGGCTGCAGTGAACCGAGATCTCACCATTGCACCCCAGCCTGAGCAGCAAGAGCGAAACTCCGTCTCATAAAAATAATGATAATAATAATAAGGATGTGCACAGCGTCAGAATTACATATAATGGCCACAACTGTTAATAACCTAAAATGGCAATAAGAAGGGATTAAATCATGGTAAATTATATAGTGAAATATAAGCGATCCATAAAAATTTCATTGACAAGAAAAAATATTCACAACGTACTGCTGAGTATAAAAAGCAAGTCATAGAACAGACATACAGTATAAACCTATTTATGTAATAAAATATATAGGCATAGAAAAAATATCTTAAAGGATATAACCAAAACCATAGCAATGTGTATCTCTGACAAATATTAGCATAATTTTTAATTTTCTTTTTCTGTTTCCTACTTCTCTTGTAAGAAACATGGCAATGTGCACTGGCAGAAACCCTGCAGGTAATGCAGACCCCACCATACCCCCACCATTCCATCTACCTGGTGGGGGTCCCTGTCCAGAGCTGCCCTGTGGCTCTGAGCATTCGTACCCTTTATATGAGACATAAATGCTATTTCTTTGTGCTGCCGTTTAACTTTTCAAGCTTAATTTTGCCTCCTCGATTTGCTGTGGTAAGACTGTGGGTAAGGTTTGTGTCTCACATTTCTTGTGTGTTCCTCTCACTGCCTACTACATAGCAAGTTCACAGCAAATAGCCTAAGCAAAAATGTGTCACTTCTGTGCCCAAGATGCTGTGGCATCTGAAAGAACCCAGTTCTAGGCCAGCTTGAGGCTGTATGTTGTGGGCTACCTGTCAATCTAGTTCTATGAAGATGCCTATTATGCTGCTAATTACTGTAGAGTGATGGGACTGTTTGTTTAAAGCATAGGTTATTGCCCTCACACCCAGAGGCAAAGACAATCCTGTGGCATCCTGTAATTAATGAGCCCATAGTATTTCTTCCTGCCTCTAGTGCAAAGTTGGCTTTGATCCAAGGGAGTGCTTCCCCTCCATCTACAACTTCACATCTTTGCTGTTGGAGGCCTCTTCTGAGAAAGTACCTCCTTTCCTAAACTGGGGGCCTGGTCAGAATAGCCCTATGTCCCTGGTGTTCCAAGTTAGCTTCACCAGCTCCCCCTGGTCCTTCTGAGTGACAGAGTATGCTCTTAAGTCCAGGCAAATCTACTATCCAAGCAGCTCAGTTTATAGGCCCAGAGGCCAAAAGAACCCTAGAGACCACTGCAGGGGTGACAGAGGGTTCGTTCATTCAAATTCAACGAGTAAATGTTTATAGCTGTCGGTAATCTCTGCAATCAGCACTCACTTCAGTTAAATCTTCTGTAGAAAAATGAGTTAAATTCTCTGGAGAAGGAGTCAGAATCAGGGAGAGGCCAGACAACTGCCTCTTTTTCTCCTTGTGTATGTGTGAATGTGTCTGGTGTTCACAAGGTTCTTGAAGGAGTGGACAGAGGAGAGAAGTCCTGAAGCCTTTGCCATGAGCACATGTGAGAGGCTTTCTGGAGGCCAAGCCCAGACTTCCATCATGGGGACCTTGGCCACGGTACTTCACAGCTCTGTGCCTCAGCTTCCTCATCTGTAAAATGGGATGATCATAGAGCACCTGCCTCACAGAGTGGTTGTTAATGAATGTTAAGCAGTTAGAACAGTGCCCAGCCCAAGGTGAACAGGATACAAGTGTTTGCCACTATTAACAAAAGCAGAGGGAAATTTTTGAAAATGTCATCCTTTGAGTCCCCTGAACACTCTCTTGCTCCTCTCTGTGAAGAAAGATTCCACACAGCCTGGCATGAGAGCAAACTCCCTTCCCAGGAGCTTTAGAAGCCAAAGAAGTGGCCGCAGATGAGTTGGAAGACAGCTACTGGCCACAGAACATTCCTTTGGAAACTCTTCTCTAAGCAGCCCACCAAGGGCCTTGGGTGTTGAGAGAGTCCAGCCAGCCACGATGGCTGCCACAGGCCTAAAACAAGGGTTGCGCTGTAGTTTGAATGTTTCTCCCAGAAAGTATGTATTGGAAACTTAACTTCCAATGCAAGTGCTGGGATGTGGAGCCCGAGAGGTGATCAGGCCATGGGGCGGAGTAAATGAATGCTATTATCATGAGAGTGGGTTCCTCACAAAAGGACAAATTTGGCTCCCTTTTCTCTCTTCCACTCTTTTCGCCTTTCCACCCTCCACCATGGGATGATGCAGCAAAGCCCCTTGATCTTGGACTTCCTAGCCTCTAGTACTGTAGGAAGTAAATCTCTGCTCATTATAAATTGCCCAGTCTGCAATATTCTGTGATAGCAGCACGAAATGGACTAACACAGGGTGTTTGAGAGGAATCCCACACTGGCTTACGGGAGGGCCATCTGCCACAAATGGAGTCTTCTAAGGGCGAGGGCTGGCCAAGGCTCCAATTCTTGGAGGAAAGGTTTCTTTTCTGTAGCCTGAAAGTCTGAGATAGAAAAGCAGAAGAGGAATAGTGACCAACTCCAGATGGAGTCCTTCTATTTAAGAGGTGGGGTAGGCCGAGCATGGTGGTTCATACCTGTAATCCCAGCACTTTGGGAGGCTGAGGCGGGCAGATCACAAGGTCAGGAGATCCAGACCATCCTGGCCAACATGGCAAAACTCCGTCTCTACTAAAATACAAAAAGTTAGCCAGGCATGGTGGTACGCACCTGTAGTCCCAGCTACTTGGGAAGCTGAGGCAGGGGAATCGCTTGAACCTGGGAGGTGGAGGTTGCAGTGAGCCGAGATTGCGCCACTGCACTCCAGCCTGGCAACACAGCAAGACTCCGTCTCAAAAAAAAAAAAAAAAAAAAAAAAAAAAACAAAAAAGAGGTGGGGTAATCCAGTGCTAGTCAGTTAGTTGGTCTCATGGCAGGATACTACTTCAGACACATCAGTATTTGCAAAGAAGATAGACTACACGAGTCATTAAGAAATATTTATTTTCTTATATGGTAGAATCTGTTCTTCCCTCTGAATCTAGACTTTCTGAAAGGAAGTTAAACCTCTTCTCATCTCCTGCTCCATCTCCTCACCTAAGCCTCAGCATTTTCTTGTTCAATCAACAAACATCTTGAGCCAGTCTTGGGCCTTAGGTGAATTGATGTCACTGGTCCCCATCTGTTGTTACCTGCTCACTAGGGCTCAGAATGCCACTGCCTTTTGTCTATTTTGTTAAATGCTGTACCCCCAGTGTTTAGAATAACGCCTGGCTCACAGTATGTGCTTAGCAAGTAGCTGTTAAATGAATGCATGAATATGCTGCAGTGTCCATCGCCCTCCCTCAAGCCCATGCCACCCTCACACAGAGAGGTTCCACTATGGTTTCTTTTTATTATTATTATTATTATTTTGAGTCAGGGTCTCACTCTGTTTCCCAAGCTGAAGTGCAGTGGCAATTGTAGCTCACTGCAGCCTGGACCTCTAGGGCTCAAGTAATCCTCCCACCTCAGCCTCCTGAGTAACTGGGACTACAGACACAAGCTATTATATTCTGCTAATTTTTAAACTTTTTGTAGAGACGGGGTTTCCCTAAGTTTCCCGGGCTGGTCTTGAACTCCTGGGCTCAGGCAATCTTCCCACCCTGGCCTCCCAAAGTGCTGGGATTACAGGAGTGAGCCACCATGTGCACCCAGACTGTGGTTTCTTTTATCAATGTTTTTTTTCCATTTCTACATCCACTTTTATCTAATTCTGTTGTCTTCCTGACAAGCATACCAAACTGTCAATTTTATTTGTCTTAAGTGTATTTATTAAAGTTACAGATTTTCTCGTTTTCTAATTCATTAACTACTAATTTTATCTTAATTTGTTCTAGTTCCTTCCTGTCAGTTTATTTTTTGTTGTCTTGCTTCTTGAGTGTCCAACTTGCTCAGTTAAATTCTATCTGGCTTAATAATAAGGCATTTAATTCCAAGCATTTTTCTTTGAGACTAGCTGAGCCATATTTAGTAAACTTTGTAGTGTCTTCAACATCCTTAATTTCTCCATAGCTTGTGACTGCATGTAGAGAATGACAATCTATCCCACTACCCACCCCCAAACTTCACCAGCCATTCTCCTGTTCTTTGAGAGGGAAATTGGTATCTACTCATTGTTTATAAAAAGCTTTTTGTAAATATACCTTCAAGCCACTTCCCTTCATCCCAGATACCACCCACCCCTCAGCTCCTGTTACATAGAGACTCAGGAGTCATGGGGGAGAGCCATGTGCTGGGCACTGTCTGCCCTTCAATAGCCCAGCGTTTCTCAGTGTCAGCACTATTAACACTTTGAGCTGGATAACTCTTTGTGGCCAGGCTGTCCTGTGCATTGTAGGATGTTTAACAGCATCCTGGCCTCTTTCTACCCACTAGATGCCAGTAGAATATGCACATGTGCACATGCACATGCCCCATGTGCGTACACATATATACACCCCAAGTTGTGACGACTAAAAATATCTCCAGACATTGCCAGATGTCCTGTCCTGGGGCTGGCGGGTAAAACTGTCCCTGTTTGAGAACCACTGATACAGTCCTATAAAAGCCACAGCCATGGAGAAGTCAGGACACACAATCTTACCTCCCACTTCCGCAAAGGTCTGGCAGGACCAAGGCCTGGAGGTCCCACAGTGGGGCCCCCTGTGGTTAGGTGTAGGAGCTGCAAATGAGGCGGCGAAGGGGGCCAATTCTGTTTCCTTAGGTGGGTATAATTTTTCCCTCTTGCAGATGGAAAGAAAATAGGATCTAGGTGGCTTCTAGCTGGGAGGTACCTTCAAACTTAGGAGACCAAGAGGGTACAGGGGCAGGCTTCTCCAGCACCCAGTGGCCTTGGCCTCAGAGGGCATAAGAGGACACCAAGACTCATGGGAGCCCAGTCCAGCCCAGAAGGGAGAAGGCCAGATAGGATTCAGAGCTGAAGCCCTGGCCAAAGCAGACAGAACAGCCTTACTTCATAGAGCCTCAGGGTACAAGAGCATCGGCAGCCCCTCTGTTCTCTGAAAGCAAGTGGGATCTGTACTTGGTCATAAAAAGATGCCCATTACTCTTTACATAAAATAACATCCTAATCATTCAGCGCTATTAACGTGTGAAATGCACATACCTTGACCTAGCAGGTACATTGCTATGAGTGTATTTTATGGATATAACAGCACAAGTGCTCAGGGTCTACAGAGAAGCTGTGGCATACTAATCCAGAGTGCAGCCTTAGGGCCTGGCTGCCTAGGTTCAAGTCCCAGATCTACCACCTACCAGATATGTGATCTTGGGAAAGTTATTGACCTCTTTGCAACAGAGTTCCTTCATCATGAAGTACAGGCAGTAAAAGGACCTATTTCTTGGGCTGTTACTAAGATTATGTAACTTGGCCGGGCGCGGTGGCTCAAGCCTGTAATCCCAGCACTTTGGGAGGCCGAGACGGGCGGATCACGAGGTCAGGAGATCGAGACCATCCTGGCTAACACGGTGAAACCCCGTCTCTACTAAAAATACAAAAAAAAAACTAGCCGGGCGAGGTGGCGGGCGCCTGTAGTCCCAGCTACTCCGGAGGCTGAGGCAGGAGAATGGCGTAAACCCGGGAGGCGGAGCTTGCAGTGAGCTGAGATCCGGCCACTGCAGTCCAGCCCGGGCTACAGAGCAAGACTCCGTCTCAAAAAAAAAAAAAAAAAAAAAAAAAAAGATTATGTAACTTACCATATTCCAACAACATAGTCTGTGGTCAATAAATGCTAGCTAAAAATCTGGGAATTTAAATGCCAATCATTGGTTAAATACATGTGGCATATTCATTCTGTGAAATACTGGGTAGCCATTAAAAGAAGTGAAGTAGAACTATATCTACTTATACTACTATATCTACTTATAGTACTATATCTACTTACAGGTGTGAGCCACCGGGCACAGTGGCTCACACCTGTAATCCCAGCACTTTGGGAGCCTGAGGTGGGTGGATCACCTGAGGTCAGGAGTTCTAGACCAGCCTAACCAACATGGAGAAATCCCGTTTCTACTAAAAAAAAATACAAAATGAGCCGGGCATGGTGGCGCATGCCTGTAATCCCAGCTACTTGGGAGGCTGAGGCAGAATTGCTTGAACCCTGGAGGTGGAGGCTGCGGTGAGCCAAGATCGCACCATTGCACTCCAGCCTGGGCAACAAGAATGAAACTGTCTCCAAAAAAAAAAAAAAAAAAAACTATATCTACTTAAATAAGAACTTATTTAACAATAAGTAATAAATAAGAATATATATATATAAAACAGAAAAACTGTGCTAAAATTTATAATAAAGATATACATACAGAAAAGTATATCTCATTTGAGGTTATTTGCATATAAAAAGAGCTATGTAGAAATAGCTATGTGAATTTAACTACATAGAAAGTTTCTAGAACCCTCAAGAAGCTCATTATATCTAGGGAGAGGGACTGGAGGACCAAGGAACTTTTGCTTTCTCCTTTGGTACTGTTTGAGTCTCCTACTATTAGCATGTATTTTTATTTATTTATTTATTTATTTATTTATTTAGAGACAAAGAGTCTCACTTTGTTGCCCAGGATGGAGTGC